GCAATTTGACAACGTTTATGAAAATTACAAAGGCACATATCCTTCGACGCAGTAATTCCATGTTTAGGAATTTATCCTATATATACACTCACACATGCATGAAATTAAAATGCACCCAATAATTCAGTGTAGCACTGGTTGTCATCGCAAAGATTGGATACAGCCTAATATCCATCATCAGGGAATTGGCCAATAAATTATAGTACATCCATGTAACCAAATTCTCAGCAGCCATAAAAAAAGAGAAAGGAAGTTCTGTAGGTACAAACGCGAAAAGCTCTCCAAAGTTTTACCTTTAAAAAGCAAGGTACAGACAAAGGTATAAGCTGCTGTTTACGAAAAAAAGGGGAGGTTCGTGCACAGAAGTAGAAACCAGGTTTTTCATTCTATGTCTTTTGTACCTTTTGAATTTTGAACTATGTAACTGTAATCTCAGACTCACTTAAAAAAAAATCCCATCCTTTGGAATGCACTATCACCATTATAAAGTAATAGTCCATTTAGAACACTTGCTATTTCCTAACAGTGTGGGGATGGAGTCCCTTGGTGGGGCAAATAGTTAAGCACTGGACTACTAACAGAAAGGTTGGTGGTTCAAACTCACCTAGAGGCACCTAGGAAGAAAGGCCTGGTGAACTGCTTCTGAAAGTTCACAGCCTTGAAAACTCTATTAAGCTCAGTTCCACTCTGCACACATGCAGTCACCATGAGTTGGAATCGACTCAGTGGCAACTAACAACGACAGTGTGGAAGGACATATTTAAGTAAGGACTGAGTTCAAGAGACTTTTATTATTTTAAAGGATAGAGAAATACTGCACACAGAAAGAAGAGAGTACTCTAGATTCAGAAGATCCTTATCTAATCAAGGGTACTCAGCCCTGGTTATGCTTTAAAATAACCTGGGGATCCTAAAAATACCAAGGCCATGTACCCCAAACCCCAACCATTTACATCAGAAATTTGGGGGACAGGGTCCAGCCATGAAAATCACTGATCTAAACGCTTTAAAACTGTGGTTCTCAACAGGGGGTGGTTTTGTCCCCCCAAGGGACATCTGGCAATGTCTGGAAACATGTTTGGCTGTCACAACTTGAGGGTAGGGGTGAAGATCCTACAATGCACAGGACAGCCCCCAGCAACTAAGAATTATCCAGCCCATAATATCAATAGTGCCGAGGTTGAGAAACCCTGCTTTAAAATAAAATCACTGCTTCTGAAGTAACAACCAGTTTTAGTCTTTACTCTTAAACAAGCAAAATAATCTCCTTAATTACTTATGTAGGATACTATTAGCATAATAAAGCTATTTCAGTGGCCACAGAAACTACAATTTATTTGTTGACATGGTTATAACAAATAGTATAAACATAAAAATTCCGTTTATGTCTTTTTGCTGGTCCTTTAACTAGTTTTACTCTAGTCAAAAAACTTATGTCTCATTTATAAAGTAGCCAGGGTAGCAGCCTGTGAGCCAATGTGGTCCATCCATCTATTTTGCTTGAGCCACACGTCCTTAAAAATACAGGTAGTCCCCAACTTATGATGGGGTTCTGTTCCGACGACTCCAACGTAAGTCAAATACTTCATTTTTATTAAGTTTTCATTATTATTGCCTTTTTTAGAGCCCTGGTGGCGCAGTGGTTAACAGCTCGGCTGCTAACCAAAAGATTGGCAGTTTGAATCCACTGCCGCTCCCTGGAAACCCTGTGGGGCAATTCTACTCTGTCCTATATGGTCGCTATGAGTTGGAAATGACTCAGCAGTAATGGGTTTGGGGTTTTTTTTTTTTTAATCTTTATAAATCTGATCTTTGTCTTTGGGGGCTGGAAACATTACGTATAAATTAACATATTTTAATACATACATACATAAAAAAACACAAGTCCATAAAAAAATGGACAACATTAGCATTTTGTCAATTGGAGTAAGAACTCCACTTGTGCAAGGTTCTGGATCATCTGGATTATCTCTGGGAATGGGAATGGCCTTTCTAGTTAGAAGATTAATGAGAGCTGTCTGTACAGTCCTTTTACATGCTACAACACTGTGTGTAGTACATATTACTAACGATAAGATGTACACACGCAAAAAAAGATGGTCGTCAGTGCAGTTCGTCATAACTCTAATATGTCGTAAGTCAGGGACTACCTGTAGATTGAATCTGTGCTAATCAGCTGCAGCCGAGGAGTGGGAATTTAGCACAGTCCCTACTCACGTACTCATTTGCTGCACCCCACCTGGTCTTTTAAACATCTGAGTTGGCCCTCCCCTGCCATCTTCTACAACCATACCAAAAAAACCAAACCCACTGCCATCCGGTGGGTTCAAACCGCCAGCCTTTAGGTTAGCAGCTGAGTGCTTTAACCACTGCACCACCAGGGCTCCTCCTTCTACAACCACACGGGGCATACAGTCTCTTTACTCTTCTTCCTCCTCACCTTAAAAATATTCCCACACCCATTCAGAATTCTCAAACTCCCACATCACTTGCCTAAATAAAACTTCTATCAAGAGATGGAAGAACTAAGAGAAGGGCAGAGGTAGAGATGGCCTTTGCATGACAACTTCCTTCTTTTAGTTGTCATGCCATTAAAGACAGGTTGATTGCCACCTGATTCATCTCTGGGTGTTACAAACTAGGCTTGTGATTTCTAGCAAATGCCACTAAATTATATATAATGCTTCTGTGAGCTTCCCTATAAGGAAAATACTTAACTTATGCCTCTCCTATTATCCTGGATTAGTGTATCTCTCCACCTCTCTCCAAACAGGTTGTGGGTGTTTTATGGAAAATATCTATCAAAGATTCTTTTGTTTTTTTTTTTCAAAAAGCTCATCGTTTTTTCTTTGAAATTACAATCGTATCGTTTTGGAGCTGTACTTTAGAGATTACCTGATACAATTCATGCGGTTTATTAACGAGGAAAATGAACCCTAGTGTGGTTAAGTCACTTGTCCAAGGTTACACAGTGAGTTAGAGCAGATTCTGAATTAGAGTATTTGTTTCCAGTTACGCGTCCCATAGGTTTTCCATGAAAACACTATCCCCTACTGTGGTTTTCCTACTCAAATAACATCCTCGCCAAGATATCTATTAACATGGATAAACATTAGCTTCTATACAAATAAATCAATATTAGAACTATCACTTCAACTTTGAGGGTGGGAGGAAGGAGTTGGGAGTTTCTGGGTTCCTTCTGTTCCTTTCAATGTGAATTCACCTGTCTCGGTTTACCCTAACAAAAGGCTGGTACCATCAGATTCTTCTCCAAAACCATAAATTGGAGATGGAAAACATGTCTACTTATAGCAACATCAACATTTTCTTTCTGAACTCTGAAGCCAGGAGTTGCCTCAAACCGCTAAAATTCTCACAAGTGGCCAGGAATGGGACAATAAAACTACTGAAGAGCTTTTGGAGGTGAAGTTTAAGATGCAAAGATTGACATCTCACTGAACTTTGACTTTCATCATCATTCTCTGGCAAATTAGCGTCTTGAAATTTAATCTGGTCTCAACTTTGATCTATTCCTCTCTTCCTATCCAAACCTGTTTTAAGTATGGACAACATCACATTCTGGTCTTCCCGGAATATTCTACCTACTCTGCACTTTAGTTTTGATGCCCAACTGACACCATCCTTTGATATTTACATAAATGAAACATAAAACCAAACCAAACCCGTTGCCATCGAGTCAATTCCAACTCATAGAGACTCTATACGACACAGCAGAACTGCCCCCAAAGGGTTTCCAAGGCTGTAATCTTTACAGAAGCAGACTGCCACATCTTTCTCCCACAGAGCGGCTGGTGGGTTCGAACCACCAACCTTTCAGTTAGGAGCGGAGAGCTTAGCCACTGCATCACCAGGGGTCCTTTAATTAAACATTAAAAAAAAAACTGTTGCCATGGAGTCGATTCAGACTCATAGCGACCCTACAGGACAGAGCAGAACTGCCCCATAGGGTTTCCAAGGAGCTACTGGTGGATTCTAACTGCGGACCTTTTGGTTAGCAGCCGAACGCTTAACGACTTCGCCACCAGGGCTCCTTAATTAAATATACACCCCATTATTTTCCGAGAGCTTAGAACATCTTTGCAGATCGATTTTATTTTCCTTCAGGGAAGCCGAGTTCCATTCTGATACACGGGTGAGCACTTTTGTTTTATGGGTGTTTGCTTCACAACCAGCTCCCTCGCATTCGGCACTGCGAGTGTTCACCCGCGGTTGAAAAGGCACAACTCGGGGAAATATGACCCAGTTTGAACCTGGAGTGGTGGAACCTATTCCCATCTCAGCTAGGCCTCAGGCAGGTTGGGACTTGGGTCTTCTGCACTCCCACCTCAATCTATGGGAGCTGCCCATCAGCCCACCCAACAAGGTGAAGGTGGGTGGTACACAAAAAGAAGAGGCACGACACCCAGGCCAGGGTTGTATCGGCCCTTGCTCTGACGCTACGCGCCCACACGTTCGCTCTTCCCAGCATCTAACGCGCTGGCAATCCAGGCCTCTAACTCCATTCCCACAACGTGATGAAGACAACAGTTCGAATCCCACCACTCAGGCTACACAGCAGGCACCTCAGAGAAGCGACAAAATGCCACTGCATAATTTCTTCAGCCTCAAGATGTTTCGAAACAGCTCTTACCCAATCAAAAATATCGAAGTCTGAATACATGAAACAGCTTATCACCATTCCCATTTCCCTCTGAAGTTTTAAGGGCAGTCATGTTTGTGTCAGGTAGATCTGAAGCCAACGGCGATGGTTTGGCGAGTCCCGCCTGAGATGAGGGTCCTCGGACGCGGTTTCTGGTTCTTCTGGTTGGCCCCTGCCGGTGTGAGAGTACCAGGCCTGCCTCTCCGCGCCCCCGGGCACCCCCAGCCCCGCCCGCGTATCCCACGGCGTTTGCACCGAAGCTGCAGGATCGGCGGAGGCCCTGCACCCCGGGCGGCTGGCCCGGGAGCCCCAGAGCCGCGGGGGCCCGGCTCGCACTCACCAAAGTCCAGGAACTGCTTGATGGAGAGCGGCGACGGCGAGAAACGCGAGTAGCGCTCTATCTGCTTGGGCACCGGCTGCTTCAGCAGCCACCGGAACAACCGCATCCTGGCTGGGGCGCCGCGCAGACCCGCCTAGACGCCCTGGCTACCACAAGGGCCGGCGAAGCTGAGCCGCGGGGGTCAAGCACGTCCGCCAAGCGCGCACCCAAGCCTCTGCCTCGGCGCCGCGGGTGCAGCCCCCGCAGCAGCTCCGGGCCGCGGCCGGCCGCCCGCGGCTTCCCCAGACCCCGCCCCGAGGGCGGAGCCGGCCGCCGCACGTACGCAGCGCGCGAGGGAGTTAGGGCGCTCCGGGCGCGCGGCCGCACTCAGCTGCCGCTGGTTGGTGGCTGCCGCTTTCTGGCTCCCGTGAGGTGCTTTCCCGGCGCCTCCGTCCTTGCTCCTGGGACTCTGCCGGGCCCAGGCAAGTGCAGTCGCCCTTCGCCGCACCCCCGGCTAGGTCCTCCGCCGGCGAAAGGTGGCCGAGGTGCAGGGAGCCCGAGAGGAGGCCGGGAACCCACGCCCGCAATCGATCCCTACGCGCCGCGCAAGGCCCTTCGCAAGAGGAGGCAACTCTTCCGGGAGGCCTTCCCTCGGACCAGCTGACGGTTCACTTCAGGGGCTTAGCTGCATCTTGACACTTCGATTTTTGTGTTTCATTTATTACTGAATTACATTGGCTTTTTCATGCCCCTTCACCTCTACCACCACCTTTGGACAGAATTAAATGTAAACTCACTGACTCTGTTTCGTGCCCCCGTACCACCACTGGAGAGGACCAATTCTTAGGCCACTGTCGTCTGTGTCGTGTCTCCCTCCCCTCCCCCCCGCCACCATTGGAAAGGATCAATTCTTAGGTTACTGACACCGTGCTGTACCCCACCACGACCACCATTGGATGGGACCAATTCTTAGGTCACTATTTGTGTTGTGCCCCGCCCCCCACCACCACAATTGGACAGGACTAATTCTTAGGTCACTCATTTTATGTCTCACACCACAGGACCAGTTCTTAGGTCACTGACTCTCTGTCTCATGCCCCCCCATTGGGCAGGACCAATTCTTAGGTCACTGACTCTCTGTCTCATGCCCCCCCCCAACTGGACAGGAGCAATTCTTAGGTCACTCAGTCTCTGTGTCATGTCCCCCCATAACCACCTTTGGCAGGACCAATTCTTAGGTCATTCACTCTGTCTCATGCCCCTACACCATTGGACAGGACCAATTCTTAGGTCACTCACTCTCTGTCTCGTGCCCCCCCCACCACCACCACTGGTCAGGACCAATTCTTAGGTCTCTGACACTGTGTCCTTCCCCCCACCACCATTAAAAAACAAAACAAAACAAAACAAAACCCGTTTCCGTCAAGTGGATTCCGACTCATAGTGACCCTACAGGACAGAGTAGAACTGCCCCATAGGGTTTCCAAGGAGTGGCTGGTGAATTCAAACTACACCTTTTGGTTAGCAGCCAAACGCTTAACCACTGAGCCACCGGGGCTTCCCACCACTGTTGAACAGGACCAATTCTTTGGTCGATGACTCTCTGTGTCATGCCCCCCGCCACCATTGTACAGGACCAATTCTTAGGTCACTGACGTTGTGTCGTGCCTGTCTTCCTCACTCTCTCCACCCACCACCACCCCCACCTCCCTGCTCTCTATCCCTCCCCTACCTCCTAACACGTTTGGACAGGATTAAACGTTAGGTCACTGACTGTTTGATGACCCCCCCGCCCCCGCCATTGGCTATGTCCTGCCACCACCACCACTACCATTAAACTCATTGCTGTAGAGTCGATTCCAACTCATAACAACCCTATAGGACAGAGTAGAACTGCCCCATAGGGTTTCCAAGGCTATAAATCTTTACGGGAGCAGACTGCCACATCTTTCTCCTGCAGAGTGGCTGGTGGGTTCGAACTGCCAACCTTTCTGTTAGCAGCCCAGTGCTTAACCACTGTGCTGCCAGGGCTCCTTACCACTACCCTTGGAGAGAATTAAATGTAAGGTCACTGACACTCTTCCATGCCCCTCCCCACCCCAACATACGACTCTGTTCATACTTCACCACCATCACCACCACCTTTGGACAGGATTCTATGCTCACACTGTGTTGGATATTCTTTGTCTTCCTAAGAGTGAACCTAAGCTCAGAGCTCAGCATAGGAAACCTCTATTTTGTAGTGTGAACATAGGAAGTACTTACTGCTTGCTTTAACCATTTCCACCAAACCTTGGCTTTATTTTTGGCCATGTGTAAACATCACCTAAAAGGAAGAGTAGACTATTTTTGAAGGGAGGGTGAAAATGTTACTAGAAACCATTCCTTTGGTCTGATTGGACTGGTTTTCTTGCTAACTGAGCTTTTTGGTGTGTAGCTATTTAGCTTTTGAGCCTTTACTGAGTGTTCATACATCCATTTCTTTGCTTAATAAAATAATTGCATCTCTACTCTCTGGATTTAGAGAAAAGTAACACATACACTCAGACATCCAGTGACTTTCCCTTACTTCTGGATTTTCAAGTACATCTTAGTCATCTTGGTGGTGGTATGTAGACTACTATGTCTTTTCCTTTCAAATCAAAGCCTAAAAAAGATATACGAACAACCATTATAACCAGGAGCTTTACTAGCAGAGCTAAGCAGTCCAATACGTGTACATGAGCAGAGAAAAAGTATAGCTGGTGGCCTGTGGTTCCTCCTGATTTTCTGAGGTGCTACCCAGAGGCAGAGTGTAATTGGAGGCAGTTGTGGTAGTCAGTGAGCAGGAAGAAGCTGGACCTTGGTGGAGAGGGAGGTTTACCTAACCTAAGCGGCCAAATGCTGCTGATTTTTCTGAGTTGAAAAATCACTTGTTTTACTCCTTCATTTTCCACTGCACAAAATGCTCCTTTAAATCTATGTATTCTGTTGATTGGATAACTTGAACTTTCATTTGCCTAATTTTATAGCTGCTTCTCCAAAAGGTGGCGAAGTCCCAGAGGTTGGGAACAATACGAAATAGCCTAGTATAATGAAAACTGCTGGCCCAGCACCGAGATGGCCCAGTCCTAGGCTTGGTTCTAGTATCAACTAGTCTGTCCTTGGACAAGTCATTTAGCCTTTCCGGGTTCCAGTTACTACTTATGTCACATGGAAACATCTGATATCTCTTACTGGCATTTGTGACAATCAAATGAAATGCTGTTAGTTATTGTGAGTTGCTATCGAGCCAATTTCAACTCATGGTGACCCTATGTGTTACAGAGTAAAACTGCTCCACAGGGTTTTTAAGGAAGCAGATCACCAGGCTTGTCTTCCAAGGCACCTCTGGGTGGGTTTGAAACAGCCAACGTTTCAGCTAGTAGTCGGGTGCTTAACTGTTTGAGCCACCCAAGGACTCCTCAAATGAAATTAAGCACATTTAATGTAAACACAAGGTATTGTTAAGCCCCTTTTGTTCGGCAATACATATATTTTTACCCAATAGTTGCGTGTTAACTGTCAAAGTCCAGAAGCTTAATCAAGTGGGTTGATCTCATGTTGGGTGTAGTTGTACTAGAAGGTACCTTGAGAGAAATAGATTTTGATGAACTTTTTTAATTCCTTATACACATCATGGTCTTGCACAGGCCCCACCCCCAGTGGTTCTCAAAGTGAGGGCCCAGACCAGCGATGTTAATATTACCTGGGAACTTGTTAGAAATGCAGATTCTTAAACCCCACCTTAGACCAACTGAATCAGAAACTCTGTAGGTAGGGCCTACCTATGGGAATTTTAAAGATATGGCCACACAAGTTCTTTGATACTCCTCCCCTCAAGAGGTGGAGCTTAATTCTCCCCATCTTGAGTGTGGGCTAGATTTAGTAGTTGCTCTAAGGAATAGAGGACACAGGAGTGATGAGATCTCATTTCAGAGAATAGGGTTTAAAATAACTGCGGTCCTACAAAACACCTGACCAGTGTTCCTCAAAACTATCAAGGTCATCAAAAACAAGGAAAGTCTGATAAACTGTCACAGCTAAGAGGAACCTAAGGAGACATGATGACTAAATGTAATGTGGTAGCCTGGATGGGATTCTGGATCAGAAAAAGGACATTAAATTAAAACTAAGGAACTCTGAATAAAGTATAGACTTTAGTTAAGATAACGTATCAACATCGATTCATTAATTGTATCAAATGTACCATATTAATGTAAGGTGTTAATCATCATAGGGGAAACCTAGGGTGGGAGGTATATGGGAAATTTCTGTACTATTTTCTCAATTTTTCTGTAAATCTAAAACTATTCTAAAAAATAAAGTCTACGTTAAAAAAAAAAAAAGACCACAGCTTCTGTCTTGGGGCCTTCTCTCTCTTGCTGTCTCTTGGGTCACTGGCTCCTGGGGAAGCCACTTGCCATGTTGTAAGGCAGCCCTTTGGAGGGGCCCACGAGAATGAGCTTGGAAGCGGATCCTTGAGTCTTGGCTGACACCTTGATTGTAACCTCGTGAGAGACCTTGAACTAGAACCGCTCAGCTAAACTGCTCCTGGACTCCTAACCCACAGAAACTCTCACAGTGTGTTGTAATAAATGTTTGTTTTTTCCAGAGGTTAATTTGTTATGCAGAAAAGATATCTAATATACAAGCCCTCCAGTTGATTCTGACACGTGGTCAAGTGTGAAAACCACTGCCCTACTCTGGGCACTCTAACCCAACTCCCTATTCCTTCTAATTAACACCTAAGAGCTCGGATAAACATCACTTAAGCATCAAGGGAGGCCTTCCCTGCCCATAAAGTAGATTCATTCCTCCTTATACGTGGTTTCCTAACTCCGCATATGGATTGATTTCAGTGTTGGTTGTAGTTGTATGAGAAGGTACCTGAGAGAAACCAATTTGATTAATTTTTTTCAATTCCTTGTACACATCGTGGTCTTGCACAGGCCCCACTCCCAGTGGTTCTCAAAGTGAGGGCCTGGACCAGCAGCATCAGTATCACCTGAGAACTTGTTAGAAATGCAAATTATTGAACCTTACCTCAGACCTACTGAATCAGAAACTCTTTGGGGGGGGCCCTAGCTATGTTCTTCCTACAGTAACACTCAAAACACTGCTATCATTTGATTAATGTCTGCGATGGTTAATGTTATGTGTCAGCTTGGCTAGGCTATGATTCTCAGGGGTTTGGCATGTGCTCTTCCATAATATAATCACCTTCCATTTTGTGATCTGATGTGAGAAACCAATCAGTTGAAAGGGGAATTTCCTTGGGGGAATGGCCTGCCTCCAGTATGTAATAGATG